TGGATATTGGCCTGAAGTTTTCTTTTTTAGTTGAGTCTCTGCCTGGTTTTGGTATCAGGATGATGTTGGTCTCTTAAAATGAGTTACAGAGGATTCCCTTCTTTTGTATTGTTTGATACAGTTTCAGAAGGACTGGAACCAGCTCCTCTTTGTATGACTGGTGTAATTCGTCTGTAAACCTGTCTGGACCTAGACTTTTTTTGGTTGGTACGCTATTGATTGCTGCCTCCACTTCAGACCTTGCTTTTGGTCTATTCAGCGTTTCAACTTCCTCCTGGTTTAGTCTTCATAGAGTACAAGTGTCTAGGAATTTATCCATTTCTTCCTGGTTTACTGGTTTATGTGAGTAGAGCTGTTTTTAGTAATCCCTGATGGTAGTTTGTATTTCTGTGGGATCAGTAGCGATATCCCCTTTATCGTTTTTTTATTGCATCTATTTGATTCGTCTCCCTTTTTTTTTTTATATTAATCTGTCTAGCGGTCTTTTCTTTGATCTTTTCAAAAAACCACCTCCTGGATTTATTGATTTTTTTTTGGAGGATTTTTTGTGTCTTTATCTCCTTCAGTTTGGCTCTGATCTTAGTTATTTCTTGTCTTCTGCTAGCTTTTGAGTTTTTTTTTTTTTATCTTGCTCCTCTAGCTCTTTCAATTTTGACGATAGGATGTTGATTTTAGATCTTTCTTCTCTTCTCTGGTGAGCATTTATTGCTATAAATTTCCCTCTCAACACTTCTCTAAAGGTGTCCCAGAGATTCTGGTAAGTTGTGTCTTCATTCTGGTTGGTTTCGAAGAACATCTTTATTTCTGCCTGCATTTCATTGTTTATCCAGTTGACACGCAGAAGCAAGTTGTTCAGTTTCCAAGTGGTTGCCCGGGTTTGAGTGTGTTTCTGGATTCTGAGTTCTAGTCTGATTGTGCTGTGGTCTGATAGAGCGTTTGTTATGATTTCTGTTCTTTTGCATTTGCTGAGGAGTGATTTGCTTCCAATGATGTGGTCAGTTTTAGATTAAGTGCAATGTGATGCTGAGAAAAATGTATATTCTGTGGATTTGGGGTGGAGTGTTCTGTATATGTCTATTAGGTCCGCTTGGTCCAGCTCTGCATTCAAGTCCTGGATATCCTTGTTAATTTTCTGTCTCATTGATCTGTCTAACATAGACAGTGGAGTGTTGAAGTCTCCCACTATTATTGTGGGGGCGTCTAGATCCCGTTTTAGGTTGGTGAGAACTTGCTTTATGTATCTGGGTGCTCCTGTGTTCGGGGCATATATATTTAGGATAGTTAGCTCTTCCTGTTGGATTGATCCTTTTACCATTATGTAGTGTCCTTCTTTGTCTCTTTTGCTTTTTGTTGGTTTGAAGTCCATTTTATCAGAGATTAGGATTGGAACTCCTGCATTTTTTTCTTCTCCATTTGCTTGGTAAATCTTCTTCCATCCCTTTATTTTGAGTCTGTGTGTGTCTTTGTATGTAAGATGGGTTTCCTGAATACAGCACACCCACGAGTTCTGACTTTTTATCCAGTTTGCCAGTCTGTGTCTTTACATTCAATGTTAATATTGTTATGTGTGAATGTAGGCCATTTATGTTATGTGTGAATGTAGGCCATTTACATTCAATGTTAATGTTGTTATGTGTGAATTTGATCCTGCCATTTTGTTACTGGCTGGTTTTCTTTCCCATTAGTTGACTCATTCTCTTCATTGCAATTTTGGTCTTTGCCCAGCTGGTTTGCTTTTGCAGTGTCTGGTACTTGTTCCTTTCCGTGCTTAGTGTTTCTTTCAGGAACTCTTGTAGGGCAGGTCTGGTGGTGACAAAATCTCTCAATAATTGCTTGTCTGTAAAGGATTTTATTTCTCCTTCACTTACAAAGCTTAGTTTGGCTGGATATGAGATTCTGGGTTGAAAGTTCTTTTCTTTAAGGATGTTGAATATTGGCCCCCACTCTCTTCTACCTTGTACGGTTTCTGCCAACAGATCTGCTGTGAATCTGATTGGCTTACTTCTGTGGGTGACCTGACCTTTCTCTCTCTGGCTGTCCTTAGCATTTTTTCCTTCATCTCAACCCTGGTGAATCTGATGATTATGTGCCTTGGGGTTGCTCTTCTTGAGGAATATCTTTGTGAAGTTCTCTGTATTTATTGAATTTGAAACTTGGACTGCCTTGCTAGGCTTGGGAAGTTCTTCTGGATAATATCCTGGAGCGTGTTTTCCAGCTTGGATTCTTTCTCCCCATCATATTCAGGTACACCAATCAAGCGTAGATAGGTCTTTTCACATAATCCCATTATTTCTTGGAGGCTTTGTTCATTTCTTTTCACTCTTTTTTCTCTTGTCTTACCTTCTCATTTTATTTCATTGAGTTGATATTCAATCTTTGATAGCCTTTCTTCTGCTTGATTGATTTGGGTATTAAAACGTGTGTTTGCTTCACATAGTTCTTGTGCTGTGTTTTTCAACTCCATCAGGTTGTTTATGTTCTTCTCTAAGCTGGTTATTCTAGTTAGCATTTCATCCAACCTTTTTTCAAGGGTTTTGATTTCTTTGCCTCGGGTTAGAATGTGTTCCTTTAGCTCAGAAAAGTTTGTTATTATCCGCTTTCTGAAGCCTGTTTCGGTCAATTCATCGCACCCCTTGGTTGAGTTGTAATCCTGTGTTGTTGAGGAGTTGTGATCCCTTGAAGGAGAAGAGGTGTTCTGGTCTGTGATGGTTTCATCTTTTTTGTGTGTTTTTTTTCCCATCTTTGTGGTTTACCTGGCTGTGTTGTCAGGGAGCTGCTTGATGATGTAGCTTGTCTGCCTGTGGAGGCAGTAGTGGGTTTCTAGGGACTCCTTCAGGTTACTAGGGAAGCTTCCTGTGTCTTTTTTGTTTATACTGAGAGATTAGGCCCACCTCTTCTACTGACCTGTAGGTGCTCTGGGTTGTCAAGAATGCTGTCCTGTTACTACCTAGGCTTCCTGTGTTTTTTGTTAAAACTTGTAGCCCCTCTAGTCGTGGGTTGTGGTTGTGCCCTTCCTCCACTGGGCTGGATCATTCAGGGTTCATCTTAGACTGTGGCTGCGCAACCCACTAGAGTCAGAACTTAAGCCCTCTGGGGTTTGTGGGGGAGGGGAGGGACCCACCCTGCTGTACCTGGCCATCTCCACCTTTCAGCTTCCTCTCTCTTAGGTCATGGGGTAGGGGCCCGCCCAGCTGCTCCTTCTTACAGCTCCCTTTCTCTCCGGGCAGAGGGAGGGGGCAATAATTCAGTCCACAGGCTCCTATTCAACTCAGCACTTGTAATTAATTCCCGGCGCTTGTCTGGCAAAGATCCCCTGTTCTGTGTACTGATGAGGCTTTGGGGGAAGTGCTGTATCTGGACTGGAGTTCCAGAGGGTAGCCTTTGACTCGCCAGTCAGATGCACTTTCAGGGTGAAGCAGCACCCCTCCCTGCCTCGGATTGCCCTGAGTAGGGTTTGCTCACCATCGGACCAGACACGTTGAAATGCACCTGGTACCTCAGTTGAATCTAGGAGATCTCTGGATTTCTGCGTCTCTCCTGCTGGGTGTTGTGCGCCGGAATTGTGTCTAATTGGCCATCTTGGATCTTCCTGGTACATCCTTTTATAACTCATTGTTTTATTTTCCCTTTGCCTTCTTCTTTGACCCACTGGTTATTAAATAACATGTTGTTTAATTTCCACATCGTTGTGGTTGGATATTGCATTTCATACCACTATGGTTGGAAATCATAAATGGTATCATTTGGATCTTAAATTTATTACAACTTATTTTGTGGGATAACATATATAACTTATTTTGTGAAATGTTTCGTGTATACTTGATAAGAATGTGGATTCTGCTTTTGTTGGAAGGAATATTCTGTGTATATCTGTTAGGTCTGTTTGGTCCATACTGCTGTTCAATTCTGTTGTTTAATTATTGATTTTCTTTCTGGATAGTCTCATTTTTGCTGAAGGTGTAATATTGATGTTTTCTACTATTATTGTTTTGCTCTCTATTTCCCCATCAGTTCTGGTAGTATTTGTTTACATATTTAGGTGGTCTGATTTTGGGTGCATATAAACTTAAAATTTTATGTTTTGTTGATGAATTGACCACTTTATAGTTTTATAATGACTTTCTTTATCTCCTGTGACTTAAAGTCTTCTTTGTTTTGAATACAGCTACTCCTGCCCTCTTTTGGTTTCCATATCCATGGGGTACTTTTTTGTATCCTTTCACATTTGGCCTATTTGTGTCCTTTCAGGTGAAATGAATCTCTTGTAGATAGCATACAGTTGAGCCTTGTTTTTTTTTTTCCTTAAATATTCATTCGGCCACCCTGTCTTTTGATTCAAGAATCAGTTCATTTACATTCAAGGTGTGTATTGATAGGTAAAGATATGCTAGTACTATTTTTGCATTTTCTGGTAGTTGTAGATTGTTTCTTCCATTCTGGCTGACTTTATTTGTGATTCGATGATTTTTCTGTAGTAGTATGCTTTGGTTCTGTTTTCTTTATTCTCTTGTATCTACTACAGAGTGTTTGTAGTTACTTTGAGGCCTGCATAAAACATCTTGTCACTCCAACAGATTATTTTAAGCTCATAAATGATTTAACTTAAATTTATGCTAAAAGCATACACTAACTTTTCCTTTACCCCACATTTTTTGTTATTAATGTCACAATTTATATCTTTTATATATTGTGTGTGTATTCGTTAAAAATTATTGTATCTATGCTTATTTGAATGCTTTTCTTTTAACTTTCATACTATAGTTAAAAGTGATTTATGTACCACCATTATAGTATTAGAATGTTGTCTGTTTGAGTATATTCTTAGCTTACAGTGAGTTTTATACTTTCATATGTTTACATGATGCTAGTTAGCATCCTTTACTTATAACCAGATTTCTCTTTAGCATTTCTTGATAAGCAAGTGGACACTGATGTTATAATGGGAAAAAAATAGTCTATAGCAGTGCATCTCTAATTTTCATTTCAATTTAATTGCCTAGGAATCTTGTTGACCGATGATTCTGATTTAGAAGTTATGAAGGTGGGACCTGAGATTCTGCATTTCTAACAAACTCCCAGATGCTGCTGTTACTAGTCTATAGACCACACTTAAAAGTGGCATGGGACTTAAAATAGGGTAAGTTACCACAAAATTTTAAAATTTTAAAGGTAGAAGGAACGGTACAATGTTGGTAATTCTTAAAAACATACGTACTGTCTGTCCTGGTTTCAGGATGAAGATACTAAAACTTAGAGAATCTGAGGGTCAGGGATAAGGTCATAATAGCTAGCAGTAGAGCCATAGGAAATTCAACTTATCCTATAGTTTCTGTGTGCTTTCCTCTATACTAGTGCTTCCTAAATTTCAGTTATTTACATATATTATGTAGGTTCCTCAGATAAATCTATACAGGGTAGGTGAAATCCCTGGAATGTGCTGTTACAATTATTCCTTCTTCAAGTAACTGAAGATATTAAATTATGGCAAGGTTTCTCAACCAAAGTCTCGGTGATATCTATACACTTACATTAAAGGAAAATGAATACATAGGCAATCCCCTGTCAGAATTTTTGGAATTCTGATCTTTACTGTTTTGATAAGTCTCTTCCAAAGGTGTTTTAGGGACTTATTTATCAATTTGATTACTAAGTAAAGCAAGGAAAGAACTAAAGAAATTTTGCATGGGGAGAAGACCAATGAGATTTCACTATGAACAGAATAGTGACTAAATTTTACCGTGTGGCCTACAATGTCTGTCTCAGTCAAGGTTATATACAATCCCTCTGTACTCTTCTGTCTCCCAATATCATATCTGGAACGAAGACACTTGGACAAATAAAGAATCCTACTTTTAGATGGGAGACTGAAAGTAATAAATAAATATTAAGACATTGCATGAGGAACAAAGGAAGAGTGGCTCTCTTTAACTCATTTCTCCTCAAATTACTATTTTGTTGTGCTTTATGAAAATTAACCGTCTGAACAAGAGAAGGAAGTTAGTTTAATTTTGGAAGATCTTAAATTGCATATCAATTCTCCAATGTTGGCCATTTTTAATCAACTCAGTTTTTAAACAAAAACTTATAAATTTGACTGAACTGAAGATTTCTATAGAGAGCTTCAACATAAGACTTGATCAAGCAGAAGAAAGGATCAGTAAACTCTTAGACAGGTTATTAAAAATTACCCAGTCAAAGGAACAAAAAGAATAAAGGAATGAAAAAGAGTGAGAAAGGCTATGAGAATTATGGTGCAATGAAGCAAACTAATCTTTGCATTATAGGAGTTCCAGAAGGAACAGAGAAGAGAAAGGAGTAGTGAATGTATTTAAAGAAATAATGACAGAAAACTTCTATAAACTAGGGACAGATATGAATATCTACACATAAGAAGCTTGAAGATCTCCAGTTAGGTTCAGTTGAAACAAGGCTAAAATAAGACATAGTAAAACTCTCAGAAGCATTAAGACAAAGAGAGGATCCTGAAAGCAGCAAGAGAAAGAAGCATATCTTATAAAAGAGAACTCCAATATGGCTGTCATTAGATTTCTCAGAATTAACCTTGCAGGTCGGGGTAGAATGCAATGCTATATTAAAGAAAAACAACAACAAAACCCAAGCAAACAAAAATTTCTTGCTAAAAACAAAAACAAAAACAAAACAAACAAACAAAAAAAAACTAGCAACCATAAAGTTGTCCCTCAGAAATGAAGAAGAGATAAGGGCTTTCCCAGACGAGTAAGAGCTGAGGAAGTTCACTAGACTTGCTGTATAAGAAATGCAAAAGGGAATTCTTCAAGCTGAAAGTAAAGGATGGTAATTGGTAATATGAAAACATATAAATGTATAAAAGTCACTTGTGAAAGTAAGTACATAGTCAAATTTAGAATGCTGTAATGCTATAATGGTGGTGTGTAAATCAATTATATCTTTAGCGAGGTTTAAATATAAAGCTGTTAAAATAGGTATATTTACAATAATTAAGTGATATACAATGTATAAAATATGTAAATTGTGATCAATAACAATATGTTGGGGAAAATAAAATTGTAGAGTTTCTGTATGTTATTGAAGTTATCAGCTTAAAAACAGTCTGTTATAACCATAATATGTTTTATATAAGCTTCATGGTAACCACAAATAAAAGAACTATAGTGGATACACAGGAGATAAGTAAGAAATCAAAGCATACCACAACAGAGAATCATTAAATTACAAAGGAAGACAGGTAGAGTGGAAGAAAGGAACAAAGAACTTGCAAAGATACCAAAAAACAATGAATAAAATGGCAGTAGTATCTCTTTATATGTCATATAAGTAGTTTAAGTGTCAGTGGATTAAATTCTTCCATCTAAAGACACAGAGCCACTGAATGGATTTTTTTAAAAATCCAAACTATATGCTGTTAACAAGAGACGTGTTTTATCTTTAAGGACACAAATATACTGAAAGTGAAGAAATGGAAAAAGATAGTTTATGAAAATTGAAACCAAAAAAGAGCAGAGCTAGCTATACTTAGATGAAATAGACATTAAATAAAACATTGTGAAAAGATGCACAGAAGATTATTATATAATGATAAAAAGGGTCGATTCATCAAGAAGATACAACAATTGTAAACAGATATGCAGTCAACATCAGAACACCTAAATACATAAAGCAAATATTAATAGATCTGAAGGAAGAAACAAGACTGCAAGACAACAATAGTATAGGATGCCAGTATTTCACATTCATCAATAAATAGATCATCCACTTAGAAAATCAATATGGAATTTGATTTACAATTTGATGTGCGGACTTCAATCATAAAATAGATAAACTATACCTAGCAAACATATATCAGAATAGTTTATCCAACAACAGCGGAACACACATCCTTCTTAAGCACACGCTAAACATTCTCTAGGGTAGACTATATGTTAGTCCAGAAAACAAATCTTAATACACTTAAGAGGATTTAAATGATATCAAGGATATTTTTGACCACAATGGTGTGAAGTTATAAATCAGTAATAGGAAGAATTTCAAAAAATTACAAATATGTGGAAATTAAATTACATGCTTCTCAATCAGTGGGTCAAAGATGAAATTAAAAGGACAATAAAAAAGTATGTTGAGATTAGTGAAAGTAGACAGTCAACATATCAATTTGTATAGGATTCAGCAAAATCAGTTCTTAGAGAGAAGTTTATAGCACTAGATGCCTACATATAAAAAAAGAAAAATCTGGAACAATCTGGTGTTACACTTCAAGGAACTAGAAAAATGACAGCCTAAGCCCAAAGTTAGTTGAATGTATGAAATAGTAAACATCAGAGCAGAAATAAATGAAATACAAATTGTAGAAACAATAGAAGAGATCAACAGAGCTAACAGTTGTTTTTTTTTAAAGATAAAATGGACAAACCTTTAGCTAAGCTGAAAAAATAGTGAAGAGTTAAAGAAATAAAATCAGAAATGAAAGAGGATACATTACAACTTATATATAACAGGAATATGAAGAATCATAAGAGACAACTATGAGCAGTCATATGCCAACAAATTAGATAACGTAGAAGAAATGTATAAATTCCTAGAAACATACATCCTACCAAGACTAAATCATGAAGAAGTTGAAAATCTGTATAATAATAAGTAAGGAGGTTGAATCAGCAATCATAAACCTCCCTACCAACAACCCAGGACATGAGGCCTTTACTAGTGAATTCTACTTAATATTTAAAGAATTAACACCAGTGTTTCTCAAGATCTCTCAAAAAATTGAGTTGATGAGAGAAAGCTTCCAAACTCATTTTAAGAGGCCATTTTACCATGATACCAAAGTCAAAGATACTACAAGAAAAAAAAAATGCAGGCCAGTATTGTTGATTAAGATAGATGCAGAAATTCTCAACAATATACTAGTAAACCAATATATTAAAAGCATCATACACCATGCTCAAGAACTTGGGGTTCTTTAGCACATGTAGACAGCGGTTTGAATAAAGACAGTAAGCAGAGCTGTCAAGAGAAAAAAGGTAGTGAGAGGCGCACAAGAATGAAAGAACCAAAGGAAGTATCTGCGTTGGGTAGGGGTAGGGTGCATATAAAGGAGATGTAGGGAAACCAGAAGCTGTGGTGTGGCAACAGTCAAGAAGAAAGCTAATTTCAGGTAGGGATCGACCAGTGGTATCAATCATGCAGGAGGTAGCTGATGGGCATTAGTGACTCTGAGAGTAGGTTTAATCCCATGAAGAGGTGGAAGTCAGATTGGTACAAGCTTAAGATGTGAGATGATGATGGATGATGATGTAAATGGAAACTATTTTTGCAACAAGTTGCACTTAAAAGAAGAGGATGAAGAAAATGGGAGTCAGAGGATGTAGCCAGGTTCAGGAAAGGGGGATTCAAGAGTAAAAGAGGGCTTAACAGGTTTGTAGACTGAAGGGTAGGAGCTGATGGTAAAGTGAGGGGAGGGGGTGGAAAATGTGAGAGAGATGGGCTGTAATAGCAGGGCTTGGTTCAGAAGATTCTGGAAGAAAGTAGGATCAAGACAGGATTTTCCTTTAGGACTTTGGGAAAGAGAACAGGACACAGGTTACATGGAATGTCTAAGACAGAGAAGGAAATTGAAAGTGCTCCTGTAGGATGACTTGAATTTGTGCTTTTATTTTTATATTTACTATGTTTTAGTAGGCAATAGCAGCAAGGATATTTTATTTAAAAATCCACAATTCTTAGAGGACTCTATTTAAAAGACGAATGACAAAAATTGCCTTCCACATATACTGTCCTAACCCCCAACCCACCTCTACCCTGCCAAATTAATCTGCCAAACTAGATAAAAGATTTTTTTTTTTTCAGCCAGGAAGACAGTGCTCTTTTGGATAATACAAAACAAACAAAAAATCTGTATGTGCTTTACAAAGCTAAATTTCTGCATTTGTAAGTCAAACATTTATCATAGTACCAGATGGTGAAGACATATCTGTTGAAATTCAAAATCCAACAGTTTTAACAAAGAAAGATGAACAAAACAATTTTTTAAAAAGATAAACAGTTGAAAAACTTTTAACTGACAAAAATGAGAGATATGAGACTGAAATATATGAAATAAAAATATGAGACTGAAATATATGAAATAAAAAATGAAAG